CTTTATTGGGAAAGAATTTTACAGAATCTTAAAGCCTCCTAGGATCTTTTTTTTTTTTTAATGTGTGATGTTTCGTTTTTGAAGGAAAAATCAAAATATTGTCAGAACTGAAAAATTGAAAAATCAAGAATTTAAAAAATCTATAAAGTCCAAAAAACCAAAAATTAAAATATCGAATAGATGAAAATGTAATATTTAAAAACTCGCGAAATTTTGAAAAATTGAGTAGGTAAAAAATCAAAAAAAACCAGAAAGTCGAAAAATCTAAAAATTTAAAAATCCAAATAGATAAATCCCAAAACTGAAACGTCGAAAAATTGGAAACTCGAATAATCGAAAAACTCAGAAATCGAGAAATCTAAAATGGAAAATTGAAAAATCGCGAAATCAAAACATCAAAATATCAAGAAAAATTGAGAGTTCGAAAAATGGTAAACATTTAAACTTAAAATATCCTATAAATCTAAAAATTGAAAAATGAAAAAATCTAAAAATGAGAAGGCAAAAAATCGAAACAAAAGAGTGAAAAATCTAAAATTTAAAAATTCGAAAAACTGAGAATTTACAAAATCGAAAAATCAAAAAAATTTAAAAATAAAAAATGTAAGACTTAAAGTTACAAAATTTTGAAAAATCGAATAAGTAAAAAATCAAAGTCGAGAATGAAAATTCTAAAAAATTTAAAAATCGAAATACATACTGAAAAATCTCGAAATTGAAAAATCCCAAAACTTAAACACTGAAAATTTGGGAAACCGAAAAACTGGGAAATCAAGAAATCGGAAAGACGAAAAATTGAAAAGTCGAAAAATTAAAATATCCTTTAATCGCGAAATTGAGAAATCGAAAAATCCAAAAATTCAGAAACATCAAAAATTGAAAAACTGAAAAATTTAAATACATGAATCCTAAAAGTGAAACGTTGAAAAATTGGAAAATCGAAAAGATGAATTATCGAATAACAGGAATCGAAAAATCGAAATCGAAAAATTGAAAAATCGCGAAATCGAAACATCAAAAGATCCAAAATCGAAAAGTCGAAAATCTGAAAATAGAGAAACGGAAGTGGTAAAAAATCGAAAAATGGGAAAATTCAAAATTGAAAAATTTAAACTTAAAAAACCCAATAAATCGAAAAATTGAAAAATCGAAAAATCTGAAAACGGGAAGGCAAAGAATCGAAGCAACAGAAACGTGAAAAATATGAAATTTAAAAATTTTAAAAATTGAATATTAAAAAATCGAGCAATCAAAACATCAAAAAATCGAAAAATCAAAAAATTGAAAAATCTAAAAATGTAAGATTTAAAAATCAAAACCACGAAAATTCGAAAAATAGAAAAATTTAAAAGTAGATGAAAATGTAATATTTAAAAACTCGCGAAATTTTGAAAAATTGAGTAACTAAAAAATCAAAAAAACCAGAAAGTCGAAAAATATAAAAATTTAAAAATCCAAATAGATAAATCCCAAAACTGAAACGTCGAAAAATTGCAAACTCGAATAATCGAAAAACTCAGAAATCGAGAAATCTAAAATCGCGAAATCGAAACATCAAAATATCGAGAAAAATTGAGAGTTCGAAAAATGGTATAAAATTGTAAAATTTAAACTTAAAATATCCTATAAATCGAAAAATTGAAAAATGGAAAAATCTAAAAATGAGAAGGCAAAAATTCGAAACAAAAGAGTGAAAAATCTAAAATTTAAAAATTCGAAAAACTGAAAATTTACAAAATCGAAAAATCAAAAAAATTGAGAAATGGAAGTGGCTGAAAATCGAAAAATGGAAAAATTCAAAATTGAAAAAATTTTAAGTTAAAAAACTGATAAATCGAAAAATTGAAAATTCGAAGAATCTAAAAACGAGAAGATAAAGATCGAACGATAGAGAAATCGCAACAACAAAAAAGTGAAAAATTTTAAATTTAAAAATTCGAAAAATTGAAAATTTAAAAAATCGAGCAATCAAAACATCAAAAAATCGAAAAATTAAAAAATTGAAAAATCAAAAAATGTAACATTTAAAATCGAGTAAGTAAAAAGTCAAAAAGACAAGAAAATTGAAAAATCTAAAAATTTAAAAATCGAAATACATAAATCCCAAAACTGAAACGTTGAAAAATTGGAAACTCGAATACAGACAAAATTACCAATTTCCAAACACTGTTCAGCTTTCTCTCGGAACAGGAGTAAAGTCAAATTGACAAAAATCTTCAAAGACGTTATGCATTTTTGTCTCAGCGAGCTTTAGATATTCATATTTCGTGCGTTCCACAAAATAAAACAAGAATAAAACTGGAATTAGTACTACGACATCCAGTGGCACCGTAAATAAATAAAAATAGCCGCACACAAATGCTGATGATACATTCATTAATTCCTGTAAACAACGAACAGTAAAAAACAGAATGAACAAATTTCGACCGAATTACGAAATTTTTGAGGAAGTTTATTTAAAAGAATCTATTTATACACATCACGTATATCAGTGGGATTGCATTAAAACGAGAAAAATGTGGTGCTGGTATCCGTTAGAGATAAGAGGAATATCAATTTCTTGAAGAAAACTGTGTGATCTTGACAACGAATGAACAATAATTATAGTATGCACGACTGTTTTGATTTATGTGCAGTTATCGGAGGCAAGCAATTATTATTACGTCATACTTAATGTCATGTAAACATATCGGTTATTGAGAGATAAATCCTTAATAAAACATCATTGCTATTTTTCTATTGAAAATTACCTTTGAGAAGTGAATTTATCTCCTGTTCACATATTTATTAAAGAGCCGTCAACATCGCAGTTTACTTTGAAAATATACGTGGCAAGTCTGAAGAGGTTCACGTATTACCTAGTACAGTGCGATGCACATCATTAATTCGAAAATTACAGCCACATCAGAGGTTTGTCAAAATTTGGCCCCTATAAAGAAAATATTCATCTCAAATCAGTCAAAACTTTAACATCCATTTTTCTAAAATATACTTTCTTCTGCCCAAATTTCTAACACACTGTGGTTAGATAGGTAGAATCGTCCTTAACCAATGTGCAACAAAGTTGAGGTTTTTTGTACTCTTCACATTGATAACGACATCCGTTTTCCGGGCATGAGTCAAAATATATAAACAAATAGTAAACGGTAGGAACTTTTTCCTATTTATATTACTCTAGTTATAACTTTCGACAGACGGTGGTTTTTAGGATGTAAGTTTCAATTTACATAAGGAAATTGTGAGTTCTTGTTAAAATGAACAAATAGGAATGCTGACTTTTATTTACGATTATGGGCTAGGTAATAACAACAGCATTGTTTATTGTTAAAATTCCATCATCCGAACGTGTCTGTTGTTGCCCGTTTTATTGCTTACGAAGATAAATTGCAGCAGAAGACGAACTTTGTGTTGTGTTATGGATTCTACAGGATAGCGAGTTTTCCGTACGTGTGTTCTGTGAACTGTATAATTAAATTAAAGTAAGAATTTGGACTGAAATTGAGCTATCAATAAAATATGATCTTGTAATTGTAGATATATTTTAATAATTAGGTGTTATTTTAAAATATCTAACAAATCTATTAATAAAACTGACATACATAAAACGTGCACCTAAGCAATCTTTTTCATGTACATCATATTCTATTATGACGATATCGATTTTTCTAATAAACAATAAATAAATGCAAAGTAAAACACGTACAAAAATTGTACAAAATGAAATGAATTGTATGGCTTTCAAGATCATTGAATAAATTAGTTCACCGAAGTTTTAAGGTATAACTCGTAGATTTGTGTGACCACGGCGCGCAACTGACTCATGCTCGTCTTTTGCAGTTTTTACCTCTTTATTCTAGGCAATACATCATGAGTATTCGAGTATTCATGCTATTATTTGCTACACAAATTTGATTTGTGTGATTTTTTAATACTGTTGTTTTTTTTTAAGTTTTAAAACGTTTTCAGTGTTAATTTAAAAAATATAATGAGCAAAAATGCCGTGTATTGTATGCACTTCCCTGAACGATTATTGTCATTTCAACGAGTTTAAAGTCCCTTAACGATTTTCATTTACAGTTTATAATTGTACATAAAAATGAACACTAAAAACAACTTTTAGCAGCACATAAACAGACTAATTTTTGTTTCATTATCTAATGTAATTACCATGTATAACAGAGCATGAAACACATGCTATAATTAACACATGGTTTTAGAAAATTACCATGAACACGATGACCACCAATTAGTTCTCGAGTGATTGATGTATTACTTTGCGGATGAATAATGATTTTAAATTTAATATTTTTGTAGAAAGATGATGAAGATTACGTGCAAAAGTCGTAAAATGAAATCTTAATAATAACCTGATGAGTGGATATTAAGTCATGCAGCTGATGCATATAATTTTTATAAATATGCGCGCATTGTTTTATAATAACACGAACACAAAATATTGAACTTATTTTTAGTGCGCTAAATGTCATTCTTATTGACATTTGTTATTACTGTGTACGCGTTAACTTCGGTCATGGTCAGCTAGAATATCGACTATTACTTTTGTATTTCTAGATATTGTCCGTTGTATATGTTATATTTTTGATTTACGTATGGTCCAAGGCTAATCAAATTGTCTGGGTCAGTGCCCGGCTGCAATTCAATTGCATCCCGCAACGCCCGGACCTCAATAAAATCTCGATTAAACCAGCAAATTTTAATTTCCGGTTTCCTTGATATTTCCTTCGAGATGGGTATTTATTGAGAAAATTGTCCATGAACACAACCCATTTATCACCCGAGCCATGAACAAAGGCTCTACAGACTTAGTTTCGTAATCGATATTAACTTTGGCACACCCTTCCTGTTTCAATCCATCAAATTAGTTCACTGGGTTATAATAATAATATGATGTATTGTCCACACTTCATGACTTTATGACACTGTTGTTTGTTTTGTCGAATGGGTTGTTGTTTGATTTAATGTTTTTTTGTTGTTTACAGGTTGATTGTGGGGGCGCCGGAAGCCCAATCTAATCAACCCGGAGTGATACATGGCGGGGCCGTTTATAAGTGTCCCACCAACAGGGACGGAGGTTGTGAAGAAATACCCTTCGACACTAAAGGTAATTTGAAGTTTCTTGGGATGGTTAGATGAATTTGGTTAATTTATGGTGCTCCGATTAAAAACAATGGGGTCCAGAATTGTAGGCAAGAGTGGTGTAAATGTAGATTTAAAACGAACATGGATTTTTTTTAATCTAAATATATAGCTATCGTAAAAGGGATATGTTGTCGCCGGTGCACGAAATGGTACTTTAAAAGATGAGACAGTTAGGAAATAATTGATTTCTACTGATTTATTAATAAGAGCTGTGTTCACTAGTTTTACTTTCTTATTTTTTTAGTAATAGTTAGCTGATTGATTTTGATGATTTGGAAGTAAACGTCAATTGTTAGGTTAAAATTAAAAACAAACAAGACGACATGTCAAAGTTGTTACACAAAGCAGGCAACTAACAGCTCTTTTCCTTTGATTTTTATTTCTAGTGGCATGTTGTCTCAATCTACCCTTTCCCCCACTTTAAAACTCTCTATTTCCTCCCGTGCCTCTTCGTTGACAATCCCATAGTTTATAATTGATTCTCCCCTAGCCCCTACATACGTCCATTCTCCTTCTTCATCACCTTCCTTGTTTCCATTCAAAATTTCCCATCCCATTTCTTCTATTATCTTCCACAATATTTTCCCTTCTTTGTTATTTGCTTTGTCTTTTGATCCTCTTTTCTCCCCCTTTTCTTTGTCTATCATTCTTGTCCCCTTATCGCCCAGTCTTGCGTTAAAATGCCCTCCTATAAGTATTTTCTCATTTTCTTTTTCTTTTGTTTCCTTTTCTATATTTATGATGATGATGTTTATTAACGGTCAAAAAAAAACAATTAAAATAATAAAAACGATAATATGGAATTGAAAGTGTAAGTGAGAATTTCTTACTTGACGAGATGGAACATGTATCATAAATAAAATTAAAATATTTGAACAAGTAACAATACCAGACAATACTTATAAACAAAACACATGTCAAACATTATTCTTCTCTTAGAAAGTAACGTAAGCCCAAAATAACTTATTATCATAGTATAATTAAAGTTATTGAAAAATATATTGAACTTATGGCATAGAAATTTGACGATTTTTTTTGAATGATTTCAATTCTTTGACTGTGCATCTTATAATAAGGAGACCATATAGTAACACCGTATTCGAGGATCGACCTTACAAAAGATGAAAACAAAACAATAAAAGAGCTAAGATTTGAGAACTCACTACAGGTTCTTTTTACTAATCCTAATATTTTATTTGCTTTAGAAACAATATTATTTATGTGAAAAGTAAAAGAGAGTTTACTATCAATAGTAATTCTTAAATCACAAAAACTGGTCACATTTTCAAGAACAATAGAAGACAATGTATAATTATAATGTTCAGAACATAATTTACGACTACATCTTAAAACCTTACACTTAGGTATGTTAAATTCTAGTCCATTTTTCTTACATCAAAATTCTAAAAAGTTCAAATCAGATGGTATCATATGACAATCAGAGGGGCAAGTAATTTTTTTAAAGATTTTTAAATCATCTGCAAATAGTAAAAACTGACTAGATTTTATAACATCTTTGATATCATTTATAAATAGAGAGAAAAGCAAGGGCCCTAAATGGGAACCTTGCGGAACACCGGAAGATGGAATTATACATTTTGATTTAAACCCATTTATAATTACAAATTGCCTTCGATTACTTAGATATGAATCTATCCATGATAGTAAAGGATCACCAATTCCAATCTTAGCCAATTTTAATAGTAGAATACGAATATTCACCCTATCAAAAGCTTTTGCCAAATCAGTGTAAATACAATCAGTATCGTAACCATTTTCCATATTATTAACTATATAATTAGTAAATATCATTAAATTAGAAGTTGTCGAACGCCCTTTAAAGAAACCATGCTGTTCATCTAGGATGATATTTTTTACATGGAAAGACAAAATGTCACATGTAATTGAATCAAATATTTTGGCTATAGGTGAACCAATACTAATAGGTCTATAGTTTGAAATATCACTACGATGACCTTTCTTATAAATAGGTGTAACATAAGAAATTTTCCATAGTGTAAGAACTTTGGATAATTGTAAGATCTTTTATATAAAATTTGTAGGGGAAAACATAAATTGTGAGCACATTGTTTTAAAAATAGTGATGGAATACCATTTGGATCTATTTTAACAGAAGAATCTAAGGAAAGTAATTTAGACAAAACAAGGTCGGTGGATATTTCAAATGAATTAATATCAACAAGATTGTCTTTCCAATTTGATGAACTCATATTAACATCAGTATCAGCTACCGTATATACAGTTTGAAAATAAGTAGCAAACAAATCTGCAATGGATTTAGAAGAATCAGCTATGGTATCACCTAAGAACATAGAACCGGGGAACCCCACTGTATTAGATTTTGATTTCTTGACAAATGACTAAAAACCATTACTATTAACAATAATATTCTGCTCAACACTTCGAATATGATTTTTCCTACACAAGTTCATAGCCAACTTACCTCTAAGATCACAAAACTTTACGTAATCTGAATATAATCCAGTTACCTTAAAATTCCTATGAGCTTCTTTTTTTTTCACAATAAGAGATCTTGTATGGTTATCAACCCAATAAGGAAAATTGTTCTGAGTTTTTTTAACAACAATAGGAACAAAACGAGTTATAAGAGAATTTATGTGAGAATAAAAATAATACATACAATCATCAAGATGAGAATAATTTTTCCATGGTAAATCAATCTATTTGCTCCAGGTAGGTATTAATTACATCAAATGACGCGTTCTTAAAATCCAAATAAGATGTGTATATAGTACGATCTAGTAAAGGCAAGAATATGTCACTAATTTTAATAATAAAGGCAGGATGATTTATATCTTTCGGTAATAAGGATAAACATTCTTCAATGTAAGTGCAGTATTACTAAAGCTTAAATCCAAAATTACATCATTTCCATTCAATATAAAGTTGTATTGAAAAAGACCACTCACAGCGAAATTGTCACAAATTAATTCTTCAATCATTGAAACAACGTTAACAGGTATTAAATAATTACAATTAGTATCACTTTTCCAGCTCAATCCAGGTAAATTGTAATCACCAACAATACATACTGTAGTTTCAGGGTAATCAGCAATTAAAGAATCAACCAAAGATATATGGTCAGAATACACAGCTAAGGGTGAATTAAACCGAAAATACACAGTTCCAATTATAATTTGAATGCCATTAAACGAGATTAGTATCCAAACTTCTTCTCTTTTAAGAGTATCAATTTGCAGTAAAGTAGAAGGAATATTCTTTATAACAGCTATCATTACACCACCACCACGTTCTTTATTCGTCTCTAAAAAGGATCTATCCTTTCTGTAAACAACACATCTATCATCTATAATTTCCCTATTAAAAAATGTGTCATTAAGCCAAGTTTCTGTTAATGAAATTATCGGATAGTTCTCGCACAATACATTAGAATATAAATTACTGATTTTAGTTCTCAACCCTCTAACATTCTGATAATAAATAGTTAACTCTGAGTTTGATGATGTGGAGTTTTTTGAAAATTTGATTGTCTTCGTACACTACGAGGACTAAAATATTTACGCACAGCAATACCGATTGGCCAAAAAGATGGATCCAAAACTTTTTCAATTAATGAGAAATCGATTGATAATTTAAAGGAACTGTATTTATCAGGGAACTTGGAATTTAATTGTTCAAGTTCAAAGGACTGAATATTGTCCATATTGTCATTTGCGCTACAAACACACTGTAATTTATTCCTAATATAATCTTCAATCCTACTAATATTAACCCCAGGATTTACTCCTGTGACATGAATGTCTTTTTTTCGTCGCCTAGTGACAGCAACAAACTCATTACTACGATCTTCAAGAGCATCTCCATTTTCATTGGTGACTTGAGAAGTATCAATTATCAAGGTCTTCATTACCCTCGTTTTACTGGTAGCATTAGTAATATTGGACTTAACTGGAGCATTTTTATTGGGTTCATACACGTTTTGATTATCTTCCACAACAGCTGAGCGAAGGTTTAGATTTCTTTTAAACGATGTTTTATCCAGGTTTTTCTGAGGACCGTTCTTGTCACTATTACCACTAATTGTGAAGACATTACCTTCAATTTCATTACTAGATAAAACTGATGATTTTTCAGATAAACGATCATCATCCCAACAAGGCAGTTTTAAAGAACTATACGGGGTTTCTCTTGTTGACATCTTCGCCATCTCGAAAATACTTGATTTTAGAATCTGAACCTCATCTCTAAGTTTTTTAATTTCGATCATTAGAGGAGACACAGCCTTGTCGACCATTTTAATTAACAGATTGGAAAATTCATCACTATTCAAGAGCTTTAAAACATCTTGAGCAGGAGATGTAGAACCATTGGAACTTACAGATTCATTCGAATCACCACAGCACTCATCACATACTAGCTCATTATTCGACAGAAAAATAAGCTTGTTATTCCTTTCTTGTACCACTAAAGCACAGCTTTTATGAAAGTACGTATGACACTTAACACATGACCAGGCATTAGACACTTTATTTTTACATTTTCTGCATTGCTTATCAACATCATCATTTGTTTTAGAAGACAACACTGTCTGTCTTATGTTAGTTTCTTCCATTTTCTTGCGCTATAAACGATTATTATTTCCCATCGATTGTTATGCAGCTGTATTACTTTCTTCATTAGTCCGTTTTTATTATTACTTCCCTTTTCCAATTCTTGCATTTCTTTTCGAATTCCCATTACTATTTCCGCGCTTGCTTTCCCCTTTTTCTTTTGCTTTGTCGCCCCTTGACACTTCCACACATATTCTTGTGGTAGTGTGTTTTCAAATTTCTTTCAGTTTTCTCTTTGTACCCATTTCTCTACTAGCCCCACCAAATCAAAACAGTATCTTCACTCCTTTTTTTCCTAATTTTGTACCAGGTTCCCTTTTTGCCATTTCTCTATCTGCATCCTTTATTC